AAAAAAAAAAAAAAAAAAAAAAAAACGCATAAAAAGAGGCTCCGTTGGCGAGGACATTGTTAGGAGAATTGTTGGGTTGGTGATTGATTCGTGGGCTGGTCACTAGGCGATGCAATACTGGTCAAAGGAACAGGGAACGTTGATAACTGCAGAACCAGGTTATGAGCTGACAATTGACCCGAATGTCCTTGCAACAATGTATCTATGTGAGAGCGTGATCCAAGGAACAGAATGAAGATAATCGAAATGACAAACCAACAAATATCTTGGTTTCCACCTTGAATAGGACTCGCGTTGCTCCGCAAAGGCAACAATCGAATAGACGTGAAGCGCGAGCATTAGTGCTTGCAGTACGCTTGCAACAAATGGTTGGATGCCGAGCAAGTAATTCACTGCCCTTCCATGAACAAAGAATCGTGTTATACCACGCCTGTAGCATTCAGACCGGTGAGGCTCATATTCCTCTCTCATTTTACCGCACTGCTACACGTTATCCCGTCAGAGCTCCGGAATTTATTTTTTGAAAAAGCGAAATCCATTTCTGTTATATACTCCGTATTTCAACCGGTTGTCATCCTAGTTTTTATTTCTGTCACTGGAGAAGCGACCCAAAGTTTCTTAACAATCCTCTTAAACCGAGGTTGGTACTAAGTGGAAGTATGCAGTCACATTTGGAAAATCTGGCACAGCTGCGCCCGACTTCATTACATGAGTCTCTGTGACGGCTGCCCTTGCATGCTGCTATTCTTGGTAGGTATCACTCACTGGTACCATGCATCTCATTAAGTTCAGGCAAAGCGTGTCGTTTAAATTAATTGTAACGTATGATATTACAAGTGAATTCAGGAAAGTGTTCTTTGTTGTTACGGACAGCAGGATGGACAAACTAAAGATTTCGAATAGGTTTTTATGACTAACGGACCAAGATACCAGCCAAGAACAGTTAGAAACTGCAGCTTTTAGAAACTATGGAAAAAAGCAAAGGAGAAAAAATCAAGTTAGAAGCTGTAGAAAAAAGCAAAGGAGAAAAAATCAAGTTAGAAACTGTAGAAAAAAGTAAAGGAGCAAAAAGTCTTACACTAGTAATGGTAGCATCAATAAGTAATTAGCCTCGCTAACGAATAAGCAAAATGCGGCAAAAGTGTGCATTCCACAAGCAAACAATGCGTATTTCCTGCGCCTAGCGCAATCCATCCTCATTTTCGGAAAAACCATTTTGAACAGCACCCTGTCCTGTGAAAATAAGTAAAATCCTGGAACTAAAATTGTTATCGATGTGTTCATAAAATAGACTTCTACTGAGGGCTTGTAGAGAACCGAAAAGCGAAAGCAGCTAACTGACCGTTCAAGAACTTGCCAAATTGAAGCAATAATAAGTTGGAACATATCCGACTATTTTAAAATGATTAGAGTATGGTGCGACTTTCACCACATCCTGCTCATTCATCAATTTGCATTTTTAATGAACGACCAGTAACAGCTAATTATGCATTTTTGCTTTGTAGCGCTTAGTGCTGCTACAGTGAGCAAGGACGTGTATTATCGAGATGTCGTCCGCGTGTGTGTTCGGGAACGAGTAGACTTTGTCACCCACTTTCAACTCAGCAACCACAAGAAAATGTGCATATTTGTTTGGCGGGGAACGATTTTCTGACAAGATAGAAAGCTGAAGCATTGCAGAAATATTATATATTCAAGTGCGGCCTTAGTTCATCTGGAAATGAAATTCCTGTGCGTGGGCATGACAAATGCTCATTTTATCGCAAACTCAAAAATGTGCGTTTTGCGGACTGCGTAATCCTCTTTCGACTTCCTTCTAATTTACATTTTTCCGATGAACAACCGTTCACCGGAAAAATAACCAGGCTTCATGCAAAAAACTGTTAGTCATGTACCCCGTGGATTCAAGCAATCCTATAATGCAATAATACCATCTCAACT